TTGTTTCACTCATTCTAGCTTTGGAAGTAATTGTACCTCTGAACGTATGCCGAGTCCAGCTTTTGCCTGTCTTGGGTTTGAAGGAGAAACCTCTGTGGTTAGGCAAGGGAGTGGGGCATGGGGGCGGGTTGTGTTATGTAAAGGGCAATGTGGGCTCCCGGCCGGGCGGCGGCGCTGGAAGAGAGAGCGCCTTGCCTGGGCCTCGCCTCCTGGGTTTGGGATGCCTGGATGGGGACACTGGAGTCAAGCAGCTCTGGGACTGGCGAGGCTGCAGGATTTGGCCTCAGCGCTTGTTGGATGGCAGCAGAAGCGGGGGAAGGGGCACCTGGCTCCCTCGCCCATTTCTATTGATCGGTGGTCGGTTTTGTTGGGTTCAGAGGCTGCCTGTCTCCCAAACAACTCTGGGCAGCTCCTGGCTCACTGAGACGAAGGGATAAATGACGCCGACGTCTGGGAAGCAGCGGTGGCACCCCTCGTGCTGAATGGCAGGAGGACCGTGAGCTCCTCATCTGAACCCGGGCCCCGGCCTGGAGCTCCTGCTGGCGAAGGTTTGCCTTTGGCTGGCAGCACCAGCTCCTCTGGAGGAACGCGGTGCAGAGCCAGTCCCTCGCCCAAGTCATTTGCCCCACCGTGGATGTGGGGCTGAATTTGGCTCCTGGAGTTTGGTGGGTGCTTGGCATGCCGTGGCTGCTGCTGGTTGTGGTCGGAGCCCTTGGAAATGCTCGGAAGCGTCTTACTGGGGTGGATGCTTGAGCTACAGGAGCCCGGAGCATTTGTCCCCAGAAGTGGCCGGCTGGGGAGGCGGGGGGTTTGTGGGGGGAGCCCTGGTGGATTTGCCGGCTGCTTGGTGCCCCCACTGGCAGCAACCCCTCCTCTCTCCCCCTCCCTTCCAGGCCATGGTGGCGTGTTACCCTGGCAACGGCCTGGGCTGTGTGTGGCATGTGGACAGCCCCCATGGAGACGGGCGCTGCGTCACGTGCATTTATTACCTAAACCGGAAGTGGGATAGTAAGGTAGCTGGTGGCATGGGGGGAGGGGGGCTTTTGGCACCCCCATCTCGTTTACAGTTTCCCCTTCCCTGCACCGTGTCTCTTCCTAGCCCCTAATATATGGGAGGGTGCCGGGACGGCTCCTGGGTTTGATTGGCCAGCTCTGCAGGGTGAGTTTGCGGTGCTTTGATGGTCTCCGAGGAGGTTGAAGTGGGTTTGTGAGCAGTTGCCCTCAAGGCTGGCAGCCCCGCTTGCTGAGATGGCTGCTCCTCCCTCTGCTGTGGGTGAGGAGCGTGGGGAGAAGGCGGGCAATGCTGCGGGATGCCCGCGAGCGCAACTCCTAGGGCTTGCAACATTTGGATGGGTTGGAAATGTTCCAAGGCAGCTTGTAACAGTAATAACCATGGTGTGGTAATTAAAACGTCCTTCGGTTTCGGTTTCAGCATAACTAGCCGTGTGAAAGTAGGGAACGAAAGTCAAGTCAACCACGGGCGAAATCTCTAGTCTTGAAAAATGGAACATTTAAACCTCCTCAACGGGAAGCTCTTAACAGCTTCTGGAAGGTTGCGAGAGGAGGTGGGCTTTCCCTCACAGGGGGTTTGGAGCTGAGGGCAGAGGGTGATCGCCCTCGCTGGCGGGCTCGGGAGCCTTCGTCTCTGAGGGGCGACAGCGGGTTTCCTCCATGGGCCTGAGGTCTTCGTTTCCGCCCTGTCTCTGAGGCAGCCCCGTGGAGTCTGCCCGCCGCAACCCGGCTGCCTCTGCAGTCGCGTCGGTTGCGGCCGGGGTCCCAGCGACGGTCGATAGTTGGCCCCTCCCTCCACCTCTCCTGGACAGACCAAAATGGCTGCCTGTCGCCCAGCCTTCTCCCATGGCTGCTACCCGCTTCCTGCTGGCCTCCGTCAGCCGCTGGGCCTCCCTTCCTTCTCCGAGGGTTTGTGCAGCCTTGTGGGGGTTCTGTGGTCGTGGGTCTCCCACACGGAGGGACTCTGAACCGAAGCCCTTTCGGGGTGGCAGCATCGGGTGTCGCCCAGGCCCACCTGGTGCTGTGGGGACGATGGGCTGCCCTCCAAACGCCCCAGTCCTCCACGGGCAGCCTGATGGGTCCTTCTCGGCCCTCTCTCTGCCAGGTGCATGGGGGTGTCCTGCAGATCTTCCCAGAGGGCCACTCAGTGGTGGCCAATGTTGACCCCATCCTTGACCGTCTGCTGATCTTCTGCTCCGACCAGCTCAATCCACACCAAGTGAAGCCGGCCTATGCCACCAGGTGACAGGTGCCGCCTGGCGGGCACGGGCTCAGGGCAAGTGCCCCTGAGGCCTGTAAAGGAGCCCCCCGAGGACATGCTGAGTGACACATTGGCGATGGGGGAAAGGCCTTCCTGCCATAAGCCAGGATGGAGCTCCTGCCCCATCTCAGAGAGAGGCAGGGCGTCGGGAGCTGGCTGGCCCGAAAGTTGAGATGGCCACCCCAGCCACCCTCGGCTGCTCTCAGAGTGAGGAGGCCAGATGAAACCCCAAGACCTCAGGCTAGAACGGAAACCTCAGAAACCCACCCCGGGGAGACGGTGGCCAAACACTTCCATGCTGCTGCTGAGAAAGCTCGGGGCAGCCGGGCAAAACCATTCTTTTGCGAGAGACGATGTCCCACTTGCCAGCCTGGAGATCACACTGTTGGGGAGGCTGCTAAACGCGCCGATGGGGGAAGTATTCTTGTGCCGTTCCCATTGATTTCTGTGGGGCTTGTACAGGAGAGACTCCCCCCCACCTTAGATGGGTAAGGGCTGCCTCAAGCCCCCCCGCCCCAGCTCCAGCTGCCTCCTGATCTGCCTTTCCGGCTCTCTCAGGTACACCGTCACAGTCTGGTATTTTGATGCGAAGCAGCGGGCAAAGGCCAAAGGGGAGCTCCGGCTGGGCGGGTGCTGGGGGGTCCTTTTGAGCAGAGAGACCCTGTGGAAATGCCCCCCTTTGCCTGGGCGCTGGAGTCGTCTGCCAGCAGCCCCGAGGTCTTCCCCCGGGAGTGGCTAACCAGGTTAGCTGTGGGGTCCGGATGGGGCCTGCGCCAGCCCAGCCTTGTCAACATGCAAAGGGGCAAGTTGGGGTGAAGCTCAAATTGTGGCGGAACTCTGCAAAGATAGAGAAGGATATGTTGAAGTTTGGAACGCTTCTAGATGGGACTGGTCTTGGTTGACTTCCTGGGCGCCTGATTTTTCATGGCTGCGCTATCTTTTTATCGGCTTGGTAGTTGTCATTGTTTGTGGCTTATTAATCTGTGCGTGTCTTTATTGCTTTCCCATCTTTACTTCCGCACATGGCACCTGTACACGGCCCAATTCTCTACAGAAAAACAAGTACCTTGTTTCGGTATAGAGAGCCCTTCCTTACAGAATTTAAATTCTCGATTTAAAATATTAAGAATTTAAAAAGGGGGGACTAAAACCGTATGAAAAAGGGCTGTCAGTTTCTCTCATCTTTATTTCCTTACATTTGGAAGCCAAAGGGATGACAAGGAAACTGATGTTCATGAACCTTCACACATTTCCCTCGTTTCTGTTATGCTGAAAGACTTTAGGCAGACATCCTGTCTCCTTGAGTGTCGAGGCCATAAAGATATGGGAGGAAGTGACCCCGATCTGCCAGCCTGCAGAACAACCTCTAGCTGCTCTGCGATACCCCTGCATTCTAGGAAACAATAATTTTCAGAAGGACAAAGGGGGTGCCCCGAACTCTGACTAGCAACCAATAGGCCATCGGGAAGATAGGTTTCCCCCAATAATAAGGAGGATCCCAAACTTATGCCACTTTCAGCCAATCATGTGTTAATTGCTGTATCTCTGTGTAAGAAACATGTATAAAATCTTCTTCTTTGGCTGTGACCGGGGTTCTTCTCTGCCTTAAGGGGAGACCCCAGCTGACTCTATTGGCCCGCTTTCAATAAAACTTTAAAATCTCAGCTGCTGTTTTCGTGTCTGATCTTCTGCAGGACGGAATCCTAATTGGGGAGACCCAGAAACAGGCCCGGCGTGACCCCGGAGGGCAGAAAGCTTGGAGGGCGGGGGCAGCCCCCTCCCTTCCCAGCGTTGGGCCGCCACTGCCTTGCCGGATGCCTGGGCCGGAGGTTGCAAACGTTCCTAGCCCGGCCCAAAAGGACTCCTTGTGAGGCGACGGTCTGCGACCGCGGCTGCATCAGCATGTGGGGCCGCAACGGGGACAGAGTGGCGGGGCTTCATCTGCTTTCCCGTCTACGGACCGGGGGAGGAGGTTCTTCCGCCAGCAGGATGACTCTCTTCCAAGCTCTCCAGACTGGGACTGAGCCAGATCCGAGGTCAAGGAGAAGTCAGCAAATGGAGGGCTGAGGTGAAACATGGCTCTGGCCCGGCCGGGGCCCCTAAAACTTCCTCAGGGCATCCCTGTGCTGGGGAGCGTTGGCAGCGGCATGCTGGCTGGGAATTCTGGGAGTGGAAGTCCTCACATCTTAAAGTTGCAGAGTTTGAAAAACCCTGGATTAGACCCTCACGTGCTCATTGGAAGGACTGATACTGAAGCTCAAGCTCAGATACTCTGGCCACCTAATGCGAAGAGAGGACTCTTTGGAAAAGACCCTGGTGCTGGGCAAGACTGAAGGCTA